ACATTGCACTGTGCTAGTGAACAACCAGCATGGAGTCAGGCTCAGCAGCAACAACAGCAACATGGGAATGTTCCTTCCTAACCAATCCCTCCTGGTGGATACCCAGGAGAGCAGAAATCCACACATCTGCAAAGTTTTTGTTCCTGAGCTAATGGCTCTTTCTTGTCAATTCTGCAAAGGGCCTCAAATGAATCAAATGTTGGGTTCATCCCTGGATAAATCGCCTCTTGGTTTAATGTGTTGAGAAAGAAAAGAAGAGGGAAAAGAAAATTTACATCTGAACTAAAAAGCTATTTCATTGAAGGACTTCATTATAAGCATCTGAGATTCCAGTAAAGCAGTGACAGTAAGATAGAAATTTCATTTCTTTTTACCTGAGAAAATCAGATTGAGTGAGTGGAATTTACTAATTTCTGAGTAAACATTATAGGACAATGTTATTTCAGTCAACTTAACAATAAACCTATTAATGCCTACAATTAAAATATTCAATCTTGGTCAGAAGTGTTGAGCGTATTTTAACAGGTTCTTCAAAATGTCCTGAAAAATTAAACCTGCTAATAATTCAAATTGATACAGGAAGATCATAATCAATACCCAGGGATTATATAAATGAGGATTATGAAATATACATCATGTCAAAATTTTGAAATAATAATGGGCCATGCTAGCTGGAAACACTGGCTATAGTAATCTCAGTTTATTTGAAAATCACTAGTCCCCATCTAGACTTGTTTACATTAATGTAAGCTTTTATCTTTAAAAAAAAAATCAGTGTGCATACTCCAAATTGGCAATGGAATGGCTTTTTCCCCTTAATATTACTACTTGTTTGCTGTCTCCTTTATAATCTCCCTCATAGTATCACAATTAATTAACAGTTTCATGCCATACAAAAAATTCCAGTAAATCCAACACTTCATTAACAAAGGAACACTTATTAACAAATGCAGTGAAATTAAAAGAATGAATGAAGTGCTTGATTGGAAGAAGCCAAAATGCATAAAAACAAATATTTCTTTAGTAATTGTAGAGATTCATATCTCTATCACTCTTTCTCCCCAATCCTATATTCTATTTCCAGAAAGGGGGGGGGGCTTTATTAGTTTGAGAGAGGAAGAAATAGACTTATTTGGCTGTGTGTTCAACAGGGCTCCTTACGATAGCCAAACACCTCCATTATTACCCAGATTTGTTTATTTATTATGAACAGAACAAAATAATATTTTATGCCCACAGCTAAAACAGTTTACTCCAGTATGTAAAATGAGCTCTTGATAATCTGAGGATTATAATCTATGATGTGTCCTCTGAAAATTCAATGATTAGTTTTTAGGACGTATGTTTATTATTGTCACTGCAGTAATGAAAATGTATTGTTTAAATTAACAAAACAGTTCAAATTTTAACAAGCCATTTTGACTTATCTTATAATACCTTCCCTCAGTATTACACAATACATTTCTGTTCATTAGGTACTTAGATTTATAATGTTCATGTTGCCAAGATATTCAAGAAAAGTGCTTGTGATCATTCACTTGCATTTTCATTTTAAGATAGGGATGAAATGTAATGTCACTAACAAAATAATGGGCAGAGTAAACATGATAACAAAGGGAGCATAATAAGACCATCTAGTTAATATCACAAGGTGCCTAGCTTTTTTTCTTTAAAAAAATATTTGACATATTACATTTATAAAGCCTATTTTTCGTGTTGCTTGTAGGGTATACTTAATCCAAGACTACAACTAATTAGATGCATTATGAGTTTATTTTTCAGTTTTTAAAAGTGAAAGAAGCAAAAAAGTTATGGTGAAGCATTATTGTGGCACCTTATTTTCTATGGCAGCAGTCATCACAAGTAGAGATCTGTGAAGTCCTTTCAATAAATCTCCCTCAGACTAGGTTGTTTGTAAGCTCAAATTTGTTAATATCCAAAGAGAAGCACCAAATGCAACAAACTGAAGAGCTAATGGTATCAGAATTACAAGAAATTCTTCCTGGAATACCAAATGCTGGAGGTACATTTATGGAGTAAACTGTTTACACTGTTTGTTAATTTTCTGGATTATATGAAGAACAGTTTTACAACCTGAACCTCTCTCTACAAAGGATTAGTCTAGCTCTACCAAACTGGGGGATGGGAGTTTGCTTGTCTGAAATAACTTTTAAATGAACACTTTTTAGTGGCTTTTTTGTTATGTGGTGCATTGTACAGCCTAGCAATGATATTAGTTCTAGTGTGGGAAAATATTATAATTGAGATCTGGTAAGTTATTTGCAGACTTCAAGTTTTTCTTTACACTGTTCTGACATTTAGCATAGCCCCAGTGAGGAAAACAATACTGCCATTCATGGCTCTAGACGTAGGTTTCAATCGACTTAAGCGGGCACAATGAAACTTGGTCATTCACTGGTTACCCATATTGTGTTCTCAAATTTTCTCTCAGCAAAAGTATAATGACTCAGTATTGTATGGCCACATAGACAAGGGCTCAGAACAAGAGACACTAGTTTTGTCTGACGGTGTGAGAAAGTCGTGAAGGGATCTTTTCTTCCAGATGGTGTTAAATTCAGCTGCCTTTTTAACATTGGCCTTGCACAGCAATCTGCTGCTCCCTTTTCAAAAGGAATAAGGCTTGGTTCCCACTAGTTAACATGCATACTCACGCAACTCTGCAACTTCACTCACACTGTTTTACAATGCAGTGGTATGCTAAATAAATTTGATCTGGGCTCTTCCAATGCTAAAGCTAACCTTCAAAGGAGAACTCAGATTATATTTATACTTCTTTAGACTTAAATTTTTATTTTTCAGGCTACTTCAAGCTCAAAAGAAAGATCCTGTTGCTAACAGTATTATGTGGAGAAATATATCATAAAATATGAACTTAATGAATTTTCCTTAGAATAGTTAGAAGTTGAAATATGTAAAGTAGAAATTAAAATTTATCTTAATTTGTACAAATTTTGTGGAAGAGAAATAATAAATAATAAAAAATAACATTAAAATGTATTTTATTGGTTGATACTCGTGTAACATTAGCATGGTACAAAACAATTCTGATATGACAATGGCTAACACAGAATTATTATATCATAAAGAAAAAAAATAGGTGTGTTTTTCTTAACAAATTTACAAGAAAGTCAATGATGTTAAGTAAAAAAAACTTATTTAGTAAAGTAAAAATAATTCTGCTTCATTTCATGGTTTTGGCTAAATAATATCTTATTGCCTTAATTGAGTTTCTTGGCAAAAGAAAACCATGCACTTTTTAATGTAAATGTTATCTGTAGTAGACAATAGCTCTAGGTACACAGCACCCCTAGACATGCAGTAAAGAAAAAGCAGAAAGGCGCTTAACAATAAAACAAACAGAACTTCTCAAATAAACAAACAAGAAACTGTTAACTGGTCTCTGCAGTTGTAAACTCTTGGCACGTGCACCCACTACCACCCTTCTCAGGACCTTTTATATTATCAGAGTACCTGCACAGTTCTCTCTTCAAAACTCTGTACAAAGAATCACTATCTAAACTCCTTAAAATTTAGCTGCTGTAAAAGTATTGCTTTCTGGAGGTCTGCTATAAAAATTATGTTTTATGCCATTTGATATAAAACAAAAAGACCCAGTGCATTTCATTAATGCATTTAATTCTCTCTCTCTCTCCCTCCCTCCCTCCTCTCTCCCTCCCTCCCTCCCTCCCTCTCTCTCTCTCTCTCTCTCACACACACACACACAGACACACACACACACACACACACACACACACACACACACACACACACACGTAAGATTAGACATGTGTATGTTGTATAATTTCAATTATGCCTTTTGTTTGGAGGGAGTTTAAACCAAAATTGGGTTAAGATGTCAGTTCAGTGTATATTTGCTTGGCAGCAAGGAATCCTCAATGCATATGACTTTTGAGTAGCTTATCAAGTAAACAAGTTCCATTGAGCTGAGTTCAATTCCTAATGGCTTAGCAGACCGAGATATTAGCCCACAATAAGATGGTTCTGAGGAGTCTGCATCTTCATTTGTGATAGATAAATGTGATAGCATTTAGAGTTAACTGCTCACTGTGAAATCAAACTTATTTAAAACTTACATTTATTTACCACTCATCCATTACAAAAAGTTCAGCAATGTACAATAGCAGGTTCTAGATGGAGGGAGGAGGGAGGGAGAAAATGTTGTTGAACATTTGCTAGGCCAAAACCTGTGTTGTGCATTTAACCAGAAAAATAACTTTGTTTTACCAGTTCTTTGCTTTTTCTTTCCTGAGCTATAGAAAATGTCTACATGAGAAAAAAACTATATTTTATTAGGAGAAGCTGAAAGAGTAAGGATAGAGCTAACAGAAACAATCTGCAGTTCCAAACAGTTGGGGTCCCCCTCTTGGGTGCCTGCAGATGGCTGTGGGTGGGAAATGCCTCTACTTTCTTAAGGGATGGAGATGAGTCTGTGGTGCACTTGATGTTTTTTTCATAGGGAGCCCCCAGCAGGGCTGTCTATCATAGGCTGCCGGGCCATAGCATGGCCACTTGCCCCTGAGCGTGGGAATAGGAGCATCCAGCCGTTCACATCTCAGGCATTCCGTTTAACGGAATCAATTAGGCAAGACCAGACCCTTGGATTTCACCTCCCCCTTTCCTTTTATTCCGGTTTTTTTTGGTCAGGTCTATATACGTCCTAATTATTTCAGTTAGGGATGCCAAAGCAGTTTCCTGGATAGATCTGGCCATCCTTAAACAAGAAGAGAGGAGGCGCGCACACACACGTGGGTTTGGGAGTTAATGTCACTTTCATTTCCAATGCTACCCGCAGAATAAGACACAGACTACTTTTTAACATTTTGACAAGGGGGGAGGCAATCGCGTCTCCATCACGTCTTTCTGCTTCAGTAGCTTCCTCAAGGAAACCCTCTAGGAACAGAGAAACATCTGTGCTTGCATTTTGAATAGAAGACTGATTTCCTTTTTTTTTTCCCCTGTTTTTTTTTTCAGATCAGCTATAAGCTTCCTCCAAGCCTCCTGTAACACAGACACACAGAAACACACATCTCCAATTTTGTGGCACTTCTCCAAATCTTCAATAGATATTGATGTCACCTAATGCCATCCAAAACATTTTTGTGCTTCCCCATTGAAATAGCAATACTCTGAGCAAGACTCCAAAACTGTTAAGCAGATCTCACAGAGAAACACAGACACACGTCTATTCAGAAATTATCAAAATTATCTCAGATTCACACACTAGGCCACAGCCGTATATTGCAAAACATCTTTGACATTTTAAAAGTGCATGAAAGGTTACAGATCCATACAAACACCTCGAAGCAAGTCTCATTGACTTCATGGAACTTACTTTTGAGCATTCAGGTATAGGATTAAGCAGGAAGGAAACAAATTGCACTTTTAAACAGGGTCATCTTTCATCACTCCTTCCCACCCCTTCCTCACAGAACAGCAAAAACAAAACAAAACAAAACAAAAGCAAAACATGGACATGCATTTGTTTACCATGAGTACAATATCCTCTTTGCAGCATATGGTTTATTCTTCACCATCTTGTGCCCTGGTATCTCCTACAGATATGTCTCTATGATACACATGTACATATGTCTTTGACACGGCATGTCATTTCATTCGTTTTCTCCCTCTCTTGCCTTGATCTGCAGAAACGTGCCCTTGAGTTAGCAGCCTTGTTAGAGCTGGGTTTTTATTGTCCCTTTCTTGCTTCTTGAGCAGCAGGAAGATCATGAAGGAGTTTTTACTTTCGGTTATCTAGCTTTATGAAGACCAACACACTCATACAGCTAGATAACCAAAGATAACAACTCGCTTCCCTCATATGGTTTGCAGGGCTTTCAGCCCCTCCTCATTAGAATCCAGACTGTTTCCACAAATAGATTTTTCCAAGTAAACCTTGTGTCTCAAAATGCTCATCCTTTCAAAGCCACCATGACCAGCTACAGTCTGTTGGAGTTATGCGTGCTCCTAAGATGCATCCAGAAGATATTATTGCCTTCAAAGTTTACTCCAAACTTTCTTTCTTTCTTTCTCCTTTCCCTTTTCTCTCTCTCCTGCACACGCTCTCTCTTTTTCTTTCCTTTCAATCCAGTAATTTCCTGCAGCAATGGACCAACTATTCATCTGTTAATATCAGAAAATAAAACCAGCTATTAAGGTGCATCAAGCTGTTAAGAGTGTGAAGCATCCATCCCTCCACAGGCCTCTATTTGCATTGTAAATTGCTTCATTCTCAGGAAAGGGTCTTTAACCTCTTATAAAGATGTAATGCCATCGGCGATATTTCCAGCGCAGAGAAAGGCAAAAGATGGGGAGGAGAAGGGAATCCCATTTCAGCAGGATTGGCAAGTTGATGGTGCCGGTGCGGTGGGTGCGACGATTCAGCTCTGTCTCCTGCTCCTTTTTTTTTTTTTTTTTGGGACTATGCATCACAGCGCCCTAAACATTCTTATTTTAACCAAATGGTGGCAGCAAATATCTTGCGGGTTTGGTTGGGGAGGGCTGGGGGTGGGGGGGGAAAGCAACCTGGCAGATCCACGGTTTCTCCGGATTCCCAGAGCTGGGCATGAGAAGCTGCAGTCTTGCTGGCTTGCCGCTGCTGCTGCCCCCCGTCTGAAAAAAGGAGAAAAGGGCTATCATTGGTGGGCTTGAAGTGCCCAAATGTGGACCAGCCCAGCAAGGTCAGAGGTCCTGGACAGCAGGGGACCAAGGTAATGATGATGTCACGAGAAATTTCAAGTACACCCGGTTATTGATACGCCCGAGAGATCAGCAATCCGAGCCCTCCGCGCCAGCAATGAGAGCGGCGGCGGCGACAGCATTGGGACCCGTTTACCTCTCCTCCCAGCCAGCGCGGCATCGCCTTCTCTACGGGGAGAAGAGAGGCTGGAACAGACAAGAGGTTTCTAAAGCCCGCGGCCTTTTACCTTCCTGGTTGCTAACGCAGATCGCTCTAACGTCCAAAAGAATTGGAAGGATTTTCTCTCGCTCGCTCACTCGCCCAGGATGCACACAAGCATGTCAGCCGGGGGGGGGGAGGTGGAGGGGGGGCAGAGAAAGAAGAGAAGAGCCTTTGCCTGCATTTCTCCTCTGACAGACTCGGCATGTGCTGTGCACGGAGATGTGTGACTGAACGAGGCTGTCCTTGGGCCTGCATTTCAGGGATTGGGAATTGGCGCTGCATTACGCAGCGAGTCCGGTGTCACCGCACAGAGCCTTCGCCCGCTCGCCTGCCTGCCTGCCTGCCTCTCTCGCGCTTTTTAAACGGCTTTACTTCTGACTCCCTTTCCGGGGTTGCGCTGCGAGCCGCCTCCGCGAGGATTGCGCCGTGGCGCGCGTGTGCAACCAAGCCAGCTCGGGTGGCAACTGGGCTGGCTGCAAGCAACGGACTTCTCTCTGCTTGGCTATAGCTATTCTGTCGCGCAAGACCTCCCCCCCCCGCACCCCGCTCCACAAAGACGCGCCACTCTCACCTGCCTCTACCCCTCCCACCTTAGAAATGCAACACAGGTAAACATGCGGCGGGAGGGGGAGAGACTAGCCCCCCTTCCATTTGTAGAGGTGGCCCTAAAAAAGCGAGGAGCCGGGAAAAGGGGCACTTGGGGTGCTTTCTCAAACTTCCTACGTAGCTAGAAGCGAACCGGGATGCCCGGAGTGGAACTGGAGGGAATAATTAATGTTCCATCCTCGTGCGGTGGAAATGCCTTCTGTGTAGTATTTGGGCTTGCAGTTATCACCTCCTAATTTCGAAAAGGTTAAAAAGGAAGGGGCGGAGGAAGGGAACATCATCCTATGAATTATTTAGCCACGCATTTGGGATACACTTTTTCCCTGGTGTAAAAGTGCAGAGATTAAGCCCTCCCTTGTTTATATGGGAAACGGGGAATCTTACAACAGGATATTTACTGTTCAGATTAATAAATGCACTCAAATGGCTAGATCATGCTCCAGGTAATAAAAGATAAGACATTTTGACAATTCAGTAGGGCGATGCCTGCTTTCCCCCCTTCCTATAGGAATTGGACCTGCACTGTTGCTGCCGCCACCACCAACCTATCCTAACAATCTGAAATCTGAATTGTTTTAGAGGATATTCTTCTTCAGTGCCCTACACCGATTGATGCCTGCATAGATTAGCCTTTTCCTCCTCCAAGTATACCTCTTTATCACAACTGGCTTTATTCCCCCCCCCCCAACATGTTCACATGGTACTTATGGAATTCCCTGTATATACTGGGATCTCTCTGCTGTGAGCTGTACAGTAATTTCATTGAAGGCTGAAATATAGGGGTGATTGTGGAAAGAGGACAAGCATCTCCAACATATATGTTTTTTTAAAAAGATAAATATAAAGAGGTCTAATTACTGTCTAAAGTTGGATATTGTCACATACAGGAAAAAGCAAAGCAAAACAAAATTATGATAGAACAAGGTCCCATATTAGTAGAATAAAATGCTGTCTAAATCTTCCCAGTAATGCCAAACAATATGTTTTATAACCAAATGGAGTCAAAACACTGCAGTTTTTATAAAGCACCCTTCCTATCTTGGTATTTATACACAGTAAAATGTTTGTCACAGATAAACCTGGCTAATGGCATCACTGTCCTGTTGTGTGACTACATGACTACATGAGCTGCAAGGCTTATATTTTGCCATAATACCAGCTACAGCTCCATAAGTACTACCAGGGTTTTGACCAGCTGCGGGGCAATATATGGAAGAATACAGAAAGACACTGATCACGTGGGGTTGCCTAATGAGCATTTCTGAAATGGCAGATAGCACAGAATAAAGTCTTCTTCCTTCTCTACCCCCACCCTGCCCTGTTATTTTGAAAAAGCAAAAGGCAGCAGTGTGAATGACCATGCATGTTCTGTATTGCAGAGACCAGACCTGGAAAATGGTGGGGAGGGGAATGGGAATATATTCCACTAAGTGGCTCTCAGGTCTTATGTTTATATGGGTGTAGCATAAAATCAGCCTATTCAAGTGTGAATACGTACAGAGCTAATTATATTTAAAATGATAATAGTTCAAAAGGCATGTCTAGTTTTACTATTTGATTTTCCTTTCTGATCCACTACATTCACAAGTGGGGGTGGGTGGGGGGAACTATTCTGTTCTTGCACTTACACTGTTTCCTGATTTTGTTGGCATTTGCATAAGAGCAACTGTCTTATCACTGGAGATCAAGATATTGCTTTTCTTCACCTATGTTGTTCTGCAAAGTATCTGATGTGATCCCAGTCCTCATGATGTGAAAGCAGCTAATCTCGCAAGTATGAACTTGCTCATAAAGAAAAGTGTTTCATATTCATATTCAAAAAGTCTCATAAAGAAATATGTTTCCTGCTTTTTATTTAATTGGCAAGTAAAGTATTTTTTTAAAAAAATCTCACTGAAAATAGTGACATGGCCATTTAAAACAAATCAGCATTGTTGAAAGAAACTGCATGCTAAGAATCATAGCAACATGTGCCTGTTCATCTCTCCAATAAAATTATCTTAATGGCTTGGAGATTGTTTAGCTTGTTTTCTAATCTCTTTACAGGCATCCAGAACATCTTGGCATAAAAGCAAAGCACTCCATCAAAGCTTCTTTGGAACAAACAAGCCCTCTTGTAAGAAATCTGTTCCATCATCTCCTCCTTGCAGAACCAACATTCACTGATCTAGACAACCTCCTCTTCCTTCACCAACACTGCAGGGATGGTGGAAAAAACTGTTTCTGCTGCTATCAAGCTGCATTAATAGTTACAAGACTGATGGCCTTTTTCACTCCTTCCCTACTAAATCCCAAATTCATATCTGATTCTTTTATATATAAACTGCCTTATAGCATTAAGAATCCTGTCTATTTCTTTGTAAAAGCCATAGCATTACCTATATTTACATATCTCAAGACTCACTGTAACTGCTTTAAAATTAATAAGCAAAGAAAAAAAACAATTCTATTATTTATGTGATTGCTGATTCTGCTCTTTCTTCTCTAGTGGATCCCACCTATTTCTGTTATTTCCTGATACATAATAGCAAAGGCAGGGGGGCTGTGTGGGGCAGAAAATTAATATATAATAGTTGCGACAAAAAGCCATCTGTAAAACATCTCTAAGAAGCAAGTATTTTCCTCTTTCTGTTGCTAATTACAGGGAATAGACACAGATTCTTACAGGAATATTATGCTTGCTATTTTAAAAAGAAATTACCTTTTTGTGTAAATAGTCATTCCATGTGATTACCTCTGGATGTCTGCCTCTAAAATTAGATTGAAAGAAAAAGAAAGAAAGGAACGGTCATTACAAAACAAAAACAACTTAAAAATGCACTGAGGAAAATGTCAATTTAAAGGAAAAATATCAGTTTTTTAAAAAAATCTATAACCAAGACCATCATAATAACAAAGACAAAATTAGTACCAATCAGTTGACTAAATCTGTGAGAAGAAAGCACCAGGAATTGTTCTTGCACATCTTCAGTGGAAATTAATGAGCTGGACAAGATTATTACCCTGATGTCCTAAAATGGTCCTGTGTATTTTCACATATTTTGGACAAAACAATTTCCCGCTAGAGTGTGCCTCATGGCTCTTATCTGGTAACCAAAGCACAAACTAGCATTTACTTAAGATATCCAATCTTTTGTACAGTAAAAGGGGAAAAACCTCATGTGTGCTGTTTTGTATTTTGGCACCTGAAGAATTAAATGTTTAATTTGGAACATAAAACAAATCTTCAACAGGAATCTCTTCAACTGGGATATAAAGCTCAGAAACTGAGGACAGAGAGATCAAATGTATTGATTTAAAATTATGAAAATGCTTGAATTCTGTGGAATGGTAGTCTGGAAAGGGCAAGGAGCCTATATTTACAGGTTGAAGACAGGTCTTTCTTGAAAAAAAAGGCTGGAGGCTCCACCTAGCCACGATTTACAAAATATGCAAAATGCTTTTGCTCAGGTTTTTTAAGCTTATGAGTGATCCCACACTCCTATTTTTATGGAATGCCTTTTGACTTTAAAGAGACAGAGACAGGTCTCAATTACCTTACAAGAAGATGTAGTGTTTGTGCTTAGCATTTATATGCCCTTCAAAGCCTATAGTTCACTTTCCTTCTTTTACTCATAGAACTCTATTATTAATTAGACCTAAGTAATGGCATTTCTATTCAAAAAATTCTTTTAACTTGGCCGTTTTCCTTTTGCTCAGGAACACTGAAATTTCATTTCAGCCTTCTCTTTAAGTGTGAAAATGAATCCTATTGCATAAGTGCAGTACTGTATACAGATGTATCTTCCTTGTGTAGAACAGAATCTGGCAGCGCTTATACTAAGCCTTTTTCAAGATAGGAAGAGACCTGACTGCCCGGAGAGAAATTGCAGAGACCATCTCCTGCTGCCTCAGCATCAGGATGTTTGTAGCCTTCAATATTTGGAAAAAATGAAATGTTGATGGTCTGTTTAAACTGATCCCTTTGAGATTTGGCTTGATTTGGAACCCATTCCCAGTAGAGCCGACTTAATTCAAGCAATTTTATCAGTTCAAGTCAACTAAAAACAATTATATCAGCTTAATTACCTTATAAACTTATTATAAACCTTCCTGAGCTTATGGGCAGAAAACGCACGCCGGCATTCCTGAGCCAACAACGTGAGCTGGCAATGTCATTCGGGGCTAATAAAAGCAATGAGAAAATTGTCAATGCTTCAAGAGGAGGAGATGGATTGCTGAACCTTGAACTTACAGGTAAAAACAAAGCTACAAACAATACCAATGTAAACAGATTGGCCAACATGTACAGTAGATGACAATTGCACATTGTCATGCATTTGCTATTTTGTGAGTGTCTGGACGGGTGTATTAAAGACCTGTCTGCATCCTATTCTGCATTGGTGGAGTGTCCAGGTAAGACCAGTTTTCTCATTAGGAATTTCATTGCATAGGTTTTCATCAATCTATATAGTACTTTCTAAAAGTAGTTAAAAATCATCATAACAACTTGATAGCTACCTGTCCTCTTTGTAATATTTCTGTACAATTTAGCCTTTAACTCAAAAGTCAGAAGCAAAATAGTCAAAGATCTTTAAGATATTACAATAAACTTCATTCAAGGCTTATGTAGCAATTCAATATGCCCCATGGATTATATTTCCCTGACCAAATATTTCTGTCCCAGTTATTTGCCGTTCCTGCTCTCCACCTTGAAGTCATTTTGAATGCTAATTAATAGACCCCCCCCATCCCAAGAAACGGCCCACCAGCTTCAACAGCCCAAGTTCAAAACCATCCATCAATTACCAGTTCTCAAGTTAATTTATAAAGCCCATCACTTCTGTTAAGGCTTCTTTCCCGCTCTCTACTGGACGTCAATGGGAAGTCTTAACGATACAACCTGTTTGGGGGAAACATCTCTCTCCCTCCAGAAACATGACACGCGGAGTTCACGTTCAGAGAAGCCATTTCTCGTGAATCAGAGGAACATCTGCGCCATGAAGTTCTTACAAAGTGTCTTCCTCGCTCGCCCTACTCCCAGCTCTGCCGGTATAAAGACGGCTGATCCCAGAAAATCGGCAGGACTACTTACTTTTCCGGTTTCTTCTCTTTCCAAACAGGGCAGCGCAGGAGGAGGAGGGAGAGTTCAGAAAGGAGGAATGAAGAGCTTTGTTTGTTTTCTTAAAAAAGAAAAAAAAAAAAAGGGGGGGGGGAGAGCGAGTCTGGTTCCAGGGGATGTTGTGGAATCTTCGGCAGGCAAGAAAAACAAAGCAAAAAGAACAGCCGAGCAGCCCAAACTTCCTGTTAATGCACCTGAAACAGTTTCAAAAGTCTTCCAAGAGTCGCACCGTCGTTTTCTCTTTATCTCTGTTTGTCTCTGGCTGCTTTAATTCCATCGTCCGGCATTCGCAAGACTGGTGCTAAAACTGCGTCTTCCATCCAGCAGAAAACGAAGAGGGAATTTAAACAGACACGCTTCGCCCCCTAATACGGCGTGCACAAAGCTCCAGAGTAGAAAGTGAAGCATTGTATGTGAGGCTCTCTGCAAGTTTTTTTTTTGGGGGGGGGGGAGGAGGGGGGTTGTCCGAGGTCTAGCCCAGCCCTCTCTGGTAAAGGAGGACGTGCTCTGAAATTCAACCAGTTCCCCAGCGCTTTTGTCGCTCGCGAACTGAAGCTCTATTGTTCGTCCATTGCCACGGTCTTTTTCGGCTCCTGCTATACGTTATGAGTTGCCAGAAATAATGAATTTGCATCAAGCCCTCTCTCGCTCCTCTTCTGACAGACGGAACAAATTAGAAATGTCTAGTCTAAACGGGACCAATGGCTACATTTCCCTATGGCAGTAGACGAGAAAGATGCATTTTGCGTGAATTTCTCCCACTTCTGTTCTTTTTCACTGTCCTGGCGTTTTTTTTTTAATTTAAAAACAAAATAAAACCCGAAGTCTTTTACGTTTGCCTCCTGCTTTTGCTCGCTATATTTTGCTCTTTCCCTCCCTAAACGTGTTTATTCTACTTTGAGACGACTGAGCATTTCTGATTTGTTCTTCCCGAATAAGTCGCTAATTTAACTTGACTTTCTTTCCAGTCCCGAAACTTGGGCGGATTTGATTGCTCCTATTTCTCCTCTTTCTCAAGCAATGGGGTGTGTTCAGTCCTTCACATAACGTTTCTTGTTCTGAGGCTATGGGAGGGCGCCTGTCCTACTCACCCAGAGGGTGGAAACAGAATGAGCAACAGTGGAAGAAAGTGCAAGAAAGCCAGCCAGGCAAGTGGCGTGCTCGCGAACGCCAATATCGTAAAAGTGTGTAAAACCGGCAGCACTCATTTTGTGGGTCTACGCTCCTTTTGAATGTCAGAGTAAACGGGAGTGCCGTGGGTATTTTGCGAGGGCAGAGGACGATCCTCGTGTAAATTTGGTGCTCCACAGACCTTGTGACAACCGTTTCGCGTGAATAGGAAGTGATAAGGGATCGGGATATGTAAAGAAAGCCAAATCGTTTGGCTTGTATGGAGTGGTTCTGTGGAGCTCTCTTTCAGAGCCCTCGGCAGGGTCAGTGGTAGGTGTATCCTGAGGAGTCCGTTGCGGTGGGTTGGAAATGTGTGTCTGAGGGAAAGGGGGAGGTTGGCTGGGAGGAGCCTCGTTAAAAAAAATATTCAAATAAACCTTTCGCATGCAAAGATGGTGGGTGGGGGTGGGGAGGAGAGGTAAGCTGGTAATGAGAGGCTGGGGGTGGGGGGAAGAGAGAGATCCCGCTTGGAGCCACAGACTGCACCGGCTGCCACTTTCCCGCCAAATTTAGCTAAGAAGACATTAGCACTCTGACCCCTGATAGTGGCTTCCGCGGTTTCCTCTGGACACCTCCACCTCTAGAAGGACATCCTGGCTGCCCTAGCCTAGACAGAATGCGAGCCCGGAACAAAGATAGGTTATATTATTTGGGAGGGAGGGAGGAAAGAAAGGGAGGGAGGGCAGGAGAGACAAAAAGCAGGTGAGCGAGAGAAGACACCTGCACAGAACAGGCACAAGAAACTGAGGAAGACTCTAGGGCCGAGTTTTGCCTTCAGATGAAGGATTTGCCCCCATTACCCTTTAACTTTAAAGGTTCTCTCAAGCTAATGACTCAGATAAATAATTAGATTCTGAATTAAGAAAAGAAGCGAGGGAAATGGGCTACAGTATGTTAGGTCTTGGGTTCTTTTGCGCCCAACTTACGAGCGGAGCTGATAAATTTTGTACCAATGTCATGGATATATCAAAGGGATGGAAAGGGAGGCAGGTGACATTGGACATTGCCTCCAGCTTGTTTTGAAAGCAGAGCTGGATACGCTTCAAGGATGCTCCTGAGTGAAAGCTCACCAACCCCTTCAAGCATAGCCAGCCCTACAAATGTGTTGTGAGATGTGTGTGTGTGGGGGGGGGGGTAGGCCAGGAAGAGACAGTTTACAAGACCCCCTTCTCACTGCCCCTACCGCGCCACACCCCATTTCGTTAGCTCTATTCCCTTTCAGCAAAATCCTGGGTCTCTTTACACACAGTCTCTGGCACCGAACCTAAAGACGACGCGTCCCGAAAGACGAGCGCAGCCACAAGCGACGGATACGCCGGTGGAGAGACAAATGTTTGCGAGTCTCAGTCCTCCCCGGTTCATCTCTTCCTTCCCTCACTTTCTCCTCTCCTTCCATTCGCCTAAGATATCGCCGGAGGGCTGCTCTCCTCGTCCTCGTACATTTACACGTAGCGCCGGCATTTCGTTCAGGCTACCGAA